AACCTGGGTGGGAGGAGGCCTTGCCCCCAGCACAGAAAGCTAGAGCGGTGACAGTGTTAGAGAAATCAAGAGAGACCTAGAGGAAAAACATCTCTCCGGTCCCACCCCAACTCTACACCTCGTCCCCCACCACCTCATGGTCACACATGTACCACAACACCAAGTCTGCCCCTTCTCAACTTGTCACCTGCTTCCACATTGAACTTGATCGCTCCCCTGCTCAAAAACCTCCCATGGCTCCCACTGCCCTGGGCCTGGTGTTTGAGGCCCTCCGGACGGCCCATATGCCATGATTCCCCCTCATTGATGTTTCTTTGCTCGTGTCCTCTCCCTCCCCATGTGAGGCACTTTCCTGGGCTCACCATCTCCACCCTGCTGGTCCACTCACGTCCTGCCCTCCCCCACAGAACCAGGCTTCTTGGACTGCTCTGTGACCCCAGCACCCCCAGCCTGGGGCCACAGGGGCCGGGGGTAGTGTCCAGTAAACGGTTGAGCGGGGAGCTGTGTTGGGTCTGTCTCAGCCATCATTTCTAGCTCGCTGATTTCGAATGGATTTCACCTTCTCTTAGGCCTGTGCTGAGATGGGCTGCCCCACCCACTCGCAGGGCAGCAGTGTTGAATGCTACCAACCCAGAGGCTGACCTGGGGCTGCCCTGGTCAGTAGGTTCCAGGCCCCAGGATATTTCGGTCCCAGACACATCTCCCATTCCAATAGCATGACCCCATAGTCTCCTGGCTTATGTCCAGCCCCCTCGAAACCCCCCACAAACTCCAAAGGCAGGGCCCCCGAATCTTCATCCTGCCATCCATACCCCTCCACTACATCCTTCACCCCTGACCAGGGTGAGCGCTCAGGAACCGTCACCATCGATCAGATGGGAGCTGCAGCCGCCTTGGCATGAAAGGTCGGAAAATGAAGGCACCGAGGGAGCTGTGAGCGTGCTAAGGCCACACAGCTGCCAGCAGAGAGCCCAAGACCTATTCTATCCCAGTTCTCCTGGACACTCTCCCGATTGTCCGGGTCCTCAATGTCCGCACATCTTTGGCCGTGGCCCTGCTGCATGTGACGGCTTCCCCCTTGTGGGGGAAAGGGCATGGAACTAAGAGGACCCCTGACCCCAGAGGGTCTGGGCTCACATGGCTCAGCTCAGCCTTCCGCTGCGGGACTGTGACGATGCAGGGTTGGGGGCACTTACGGGTGAGGTTTGACCCGGATGTAGTTCTTGGGGATGAAGCCTTCAGCACCCTGAAGTTCGGCCTTATACCAGTTCTGGTCATCCTCCATGTTCAGGATCTGTGAACAGAGAGACCAGGTTGCGTCGCCACCCAGAGCAAGGACAAAGATCTCCTTCCCCTGCGGAGCCCCTGTGCCTGCGGAGGAGCCCCCTTCAGCCCCTGTCCAGCGGAGAGCTGGAGGCTCCGGACAGGTGCTGCTCGAGGACACTGAGTGCCTGTGATTCCACTGTCTTGCTCCGTCCCTGGATCAGGACACCCCACTCCCAGGAGGTCCACAGCTTCCTGGGGAAGGCAGGTGGCGGCACAGAGCAGGTCTGCAGACTGAAGGGATTTGGGGCATAGATCTGGGGTCGTTTATCCCTGAGCTGAGTCCCCAGCAGGAGACTGTCCATCATTTGCACAACTGGAAGAATGTAATTAGCATCACTGAATTTCACATGTAGGAATTGTTGAATTGACATAGGTTTTATTCTGTCTCTTTTACACACACACACACACACACACACACACACACACACACACACAGAGTCTGCCGAGAGAAACTGGTTTTTACTCCCACAGGCCAAGATCTGAGGCCCCGTCCTGTGGGCAGCCACCCACTGTCTGTCTACCAACCCTGCTGAGCCCCCGTCTTCCTGTTCCTGTAGTCTGGGAAGAATCAGCAGGCACAAGGGCAGGCAGAGCAGGTGGCTGACTCAGGAAAAACAACTGTAAACAAACAAAACCAAACAATTGCCTCACGTGAATGAGGAGACCACGGAGCCCCTGTGGTGCAGTGGATAAGCCTGGGGCTGCCCCTCGATAAAGCAGAGGGGCAGCACAAATGAGGCAGACCCTCCACAAGAGAGCTTGCCCCTCAACAAGCATGGCTGCCCCTATGCTCTCCAACATGAGGCCAGTCGTGGGACCGGTGCAGGACAGGGTGCTGTTTCACGCTGTTGTGCGCAGGCTCGTACGTAGAGTCAGAGCTGACTCGAGGTCCCAAACAGCAGCAACACAACAGGGTTGGCATGGAGTGATGTCAGTGGGTTCGGTTTTTGGTTTCATTAAAAAAGTAAGGTCCCTAGGTGACCCGATGTCAGCCACCGACAAAGGTATCCCATGTCTGGAGCACTTGCCCACTCTGTCTGCTTCTGATTCATTTTGCGACCCTGGTCTCAGTGTCTTTATCTGCCAAATGGGCATGCTTAGGGCCCACATTAAACATAGTTGTGTTTGGTGAACGACACATGCCTATCTACACCTGTGAACATACCATGTCTCATCTCGGCATGGCTTTGTGTTATTTTCCTGCCCGGAGATGTTTTCAGTGAGTTCTTACTGTCTGAGCCAGAGAAATCCCTCCGAGGAAGAAAGTCCTGGCTTCTCAGTGGGAAATTCAATGGCCTGAGCGGAAACTCATTCCCCCAACCTTCCATCCTACTATCCCGCACCCTTGCCAGGACGACATCCAACAAACTCACCCAAACATTGACTGAGCTCCTACTCTCTGTTCAGGGCAGAGCGTACTAAGGGCAGAGCAAATAAACAAGGCCCTTTGATGTAGTGGTGAGCAGTCTGGAGAAACAACGTTGGGGGAGCTGGCTGGAGAATGCCCCACAGGGTGGAGCATCCTTTAGATTGTGGTCAAGAAAGGTCTCTCAGAGGAAGGTCATTTGACTGAGGTACAAACCACAAGAAGGAACAAGACATGAGAAGATGTGAGGAAGGGTGTCCAAGCCAGAGGAAACAGCTTGTTCAAAGGCCCTGACGTGGGAGCAAGCTCTGTCTACAGAAGAAAATGTCCAGGTTTGAGGGAGGTCAGGGTAGGGGCTGGCAGACAAGGGCAAGGCCATGCAAGAACTTCTCAGCCACAGGAAATAGAGCGTTCACATTTGATTTTAAAAACCACAGGGATGAAGGATATCCCGTGGTTTCAGGTTAACTATGGAGGGAGACACGGGGGCTCTGAAGCCACCACACACACCCCTTCTTAATAGAGTTACGAGATCTATACTATCCGAAGCGATCTAGAAATTCATTGCAACACCCAACAAAAGCCCAACTGCCTTCTTTGTACAATGCAAAAGCCAATCCTCAAGTTTATGTGGAAGGGCGAGGGACCTGAACAGCTAAAGCGATTTAGAAGAAGAAAAAAAGTAAGAGATCTTACACTTCCCAATTTCAAAGCACACTTTAAAGCCCCGGTCATTAAAGCAGCCTTGT